CCACTTGAGCCACAGCACCACTTCCGGCTTTTTTTTCTTTTTGCTTATGTGGTGCTGAGGAATCGAACCCAGGGCCTCAGGCATGCAAGGCAAATGATCTGCCACTGAGCCACCTTCCCAGCCCACAGTGACATTTTTCTTTTGTTCCTCAAACTTAATCCTCATAAAAGAGTACTCAACTTCCCTCCAGATTTCTCTGAGACTTAGAGGAAGGAGGAACAGGGTAGCTTATATTCTTTCTAATTTTTTTTCCTTTTTTTTATTTTATTTGTGAAGATACTGTACAGAGGGGTTACAATTACATGGGCAGGATAATGCGTACATTTCTTACCAAGCATTGCAGCCTCGTCCTTTTGTTTACCCTTCACATCCCTTCCCAGTATTCTTTCTAATTTTTAACTGCAGATATTATTGGATACATAAATGTACATATAATATATACATATATGCAAAAATATGTGTATATTACATTTAATTGGAATGTCATAGTAATATACATGTATAATATTATGAATCCACAAACATATGTTTGCCTTGCCTCAGTTAATTATTACTACAATAATGCTAGATAACAAACTCCTCAAACTCATTGGCTGGCTTAAACCAAAAGTCATTTCTTTTTGCTGACACTTCTGTGAGTAGGCTGGGCTCTGACTTAGGAGTAGCTGTTTTTGGCAGTCGTGGAGCCAGAACTCTGGGCCTGGGCGCTGTCCCTCAGCTCTTTAGCTCATTCTTGAGCCACAGTGCCACTTCTGGCTATTTTCTACTTAGGTGGTGTTGAGGTATCCAACCCAGGGCCTCATGCATGTGAGGCAAGCGCTCTACCACTGAGCCACCTTCCCAGCCCCCTTAGGAGTAGCTTTGACTGGGCAAGTGTTGTGACTGTGGGCTAAGCTCATGTCGGCTCTGAGTTCTTTCTGAGGACCAGGTCGAAGGACCAGTTACCCAGAGAAGCTCTTCCCTTGGCAGAGGCAGAGCTGAAAGGGGACAAGCCCACCCATGCTTATGCCATGTCTGCTGATACCTCATTAGCTAAAACAGGTCACAAAGTTAAAGGACGAGGTAGTATATCCCAACCACTAGGGGGGCAAAGCAAATCATGTGGTCAAGATCCACATCAGTAGGTTAGAAAAAATCTGTACCATTCCCAAGGGGCAAGGGGGCAGCAGGAATAGTTCTTAGAGTAATGTCTGCTGTTATATCCTAAACATCTGCCGAAGCTCCCTGTCCTTTGAAATTGAAATGAAGTGGGCTCAGAACCCAGTGGCCAGTAACATCATCCTATCTCTGTAGAAGCCCTTCATGGCGTTGAACAGATTCAGATACAAGTCACTTGGCTGTCTCTGTTTTCTTTGTTCCACATTCACATTCCTCTCCTCAACTCCCCCACAAATTATTTTTTTCTTTTTTTTGGGGGGGGGTCTGGTCGTGGGGCCTGAACTCTGGGCCTAGACGCTATCCCTCAGCTCTTCAGCTCAAGGCTAGCACTCTACCACTTGAGCCACAGCGCCACTTCCAGCTTTTTTCTTATGTGGTACTGAGGAATTGAACCCAGGGCCTCAAGCATGCAAGGCAAGTGCTCTACCACTGAGCGACCTTCCCAGCCCCTGCCCCACAAATTATTTACATAGATGTGCATAGAAAGTTGTGCTGAACATTTGGGAGAAAGTTGTTTTCTTTTCTATTTTCCCTGTGTTTATATCTTGATGTATGTAGCTTGGTCTTCTCGCCTCTGGATTGTATTTGTCTGTCAGCCCTCCACACGCACAGGCTCTCAAGTCAGTGTTGGCTGAGAATTCTCTCCGATCTCAGACTCCTGAGATCTGATAGTCGCATCTTCACTGGTGCAGCTCTGTGTGCAATGTACTTCAGCTTTAAAAAAAAAAAACTCACTCAACGTCTGATTATTGAACATTGTGTCCTCCTCTTGATGAATTTTTTAATAAGTTTTTTTATTGTGAAAATACTGTTCAGCGGGGTTACAGTTACATGAGTAAGGTAATGAGTACATTTCTTATCAAGCATTTTTGCCTCATCCTTTGTTTTTCCCCTACCATCCTCTTGATGAATTTTTAATCTAGTTGCTGACTTAATACGGTATGTTGTTATTTGAGAGTAAAATAATTCTTTTGTGTGTGTGTGTGTGTGTGTGTGTGTGTGTGTGTGTGTGTGTGTGTGTGTGTGGATTGTCCTATTTCATTGCAGGATGTTTAACAGCATCCTGACCACTATTTGTTTGATGTCAGGAGCAGCAGTGATACTCTCCTTGAGTTATGGACAGCCAGAATAACTCACCATTGCCAAATATCCCCCAGGAAACAAACAAACTAAAAACCATACTGGGGTATATAACAGATTTGATAAGAGCTCTCTGCTTATCACATATGCATGGGTGGGAGGGGGGATGGGGGAAAAGAGTATTTCCTGGTAGTGAATCTCTGAAAGCCTTAGGAAGCAGAAGGCATCTGAGCTGAGACCAAGAATGGTTTGGGGTTTGGGCTGAGTTTCCTGGAGAAGGGAGAGCACACTAGGTCAAGTGAACAAACAGGAGAGGAGACCTTTGGATGAGCTAAATACCCAAGCTAAGAGAGGTGGAGGGTGGGGAGGGAGGCTAGATAGGTCTAGGAAGATGGCTGAGTGCTTTGGGGTCCTGCAAGTTGTTAGGACTTCCACTTTCTTCTCTGAGTGAAATGATACATCTAAGCTGTGGCCATTTGGAGGAGGTATTTGGCTATAGAATTTGACTCTATAATATCAGTAATTGCTGTAAGGTTTCATCCACCCGATGTTTAGTTTCCTGGCACCCAGGAAGGAACTGAAAAAGGTCTTTGAAGGGACACAGTGTCTCCTTAAATCCAAGTCTATATCTTAGTGAGTACCTCTCTGAAGATTGACTCTGAACTCTCCATCATAGATGTAAATCCAAGGGCTTGGCAACCAGTTCCCAAGAGCGGCTTAGAAGACAGGAGAGGAGAACAAGGGCCTGGGTTGGTACCTGCGGGCATGCACTACAGCAAAGCCTTCTGCATGAGCAGGAGAAAGGGACCAGAAGCAAAAATAGGCTGAGCGCCTGAGGCTCACACCTGTAACCCTAGCTACCCAGGAAGCTGAGATCTGAGGATAGTGGTTTGAATCCAGCCTGGGCAGGAAAGTCTGTAAGACTCATCTCCAATTAACTGCCAGAAAATCGGAAGTGGTGGCGTGGCTCAAATTGGTAGAGCACTAGCTTTGAATGAAAATGAATAGTGAGGGACTGAATGAATAAACAAATTCAAACCAACGAGTTCAAGGCACAGCAGTCTGGTGTTTCTCCAAAAGCAGTAAAGAAACGGCTATATCAGAGCACCAACTTGGTATGCCAATAAATGTAGAGAATATTTACAAGGAAGGAATGAGAGATACTGTAGGTCCTACACGGTCAGGGTTTAGCCACCATGGTTAGAAGCAAGGACCAGAGTTAGGCCTCCTGGCATGCATCTTTGTGTGACAAATGTACAACAATAAACTAGCTACTTAACTATGTCAAGCCTGAGTGATCCCATTTGTAAAATGGAGACTCCTTATTCGTTGGTTGATTGGTAAAAGTTAAAAAAATAATAATCATAGCCCATGCAAACATTTCGGGGCATAGAGTAAATGATTAATAAAAGCTAATTACTATTTTTGTTATTTCACTAAAAGAATACAGATGCTGTGACTGCCCCCAAGTCATAGCTGTAGTTGCCCTTCTTGTACATTATTTTGTTTCTTTTTTAAAAAATGTTTTGAGAACGGGACCTACTACATAGGCCAGGCTCAAATTTACCTTCCTCAGCCTTCCAAATGCTGCAATTACGGGCATTCATTCACCACCATGCCTGACTCTTCTGGAATATTATTGAAATCTCCTAAAAGTATTGAAACTTCCTTTTCTAAAACTATGTGCAATGGCTATAAATATTGAGGAAAGTTCTAGAAGTGCTCAGGCAGTTGCCTCTGTCTCTGCCACCTCCCTTCTTTTTTGGCTGAAGAAGCCAGGAGAAATAGTCGGCTCCCTAGATTTCTTAGCAGTATCTTTCCTTTCAGCAAGACTTTCTTCCCTGTGGCCATCCTAGAGAAGAGCAATTATTCTGAGATTGCTAGGAGAATGTGAAGTTTTTCCTCCCCATGGTATATCCTTGTGTTGTATAAATATAATCTAACTCTAAATAAGAAATGTCACATAAGTAGTGCTGGAGGGGGAACACCAAAACGTATTTGAGAATAATAGCCATGAACTAGCAGAGGTAGCCCTGGGCTGTTTTTCTTAGACCAATATCCACCAGACAACAAAGACAGATATAAAGGATGCTCTGTAATGTAAAATTGGCCTGGTTCCTGAGCATAATGTAAAACTGAGACTACTAGGAAAGTAAACTTCCCCATCGGGAAGGAGCTGCAATTTTGCAGAATAGTAAAACAACTTGTCTTTTGTTTGTGTATCTTTCAGGCTGGAGCAGGAAATACAAACGCTTGAATGTGAAGAGTCCCAGATATCAGCCAAAGAACAAATCATCCTAGAGAAACTAAAGGAGACTGAGAAATCCTTCAAGGACTTGCAGAAGGTGAATAAACCAAGTAGAATTTCTCTTAAGTCACACCCAAGGAGCAAGCCTCAGAAAAATGATGCCAGCTGGAGGCTAGTCTGAACTACATACTCTGTGAAATGAGGGCAGGCATATGAGGCCCGCTTGCTAGCCCTGAAACCAAGAGTAACCTGTCTGTTCTTTCTTGTTTTCTCTTCTTCTTCTTCTTCTTTTTTGTGGTACTGGAGTTTGAACTCAAAGCCCCCTTGCCCAGCAGGCACTCTACCACAAGAGCCACATTTCCAAACCCTTTTCTAACTTTAGTTATTTTTCAGATAGAGTCTTCTAGTGTGGCCTGTGGCTAGCTTTGGATAACAATCCTCCTCCCTCTACTTTCTACATAGGTGTGCTGCCATACCTGTCCTTAGGGAGGTCTTGTCTTTGTGGGGGGGGCCACCTGATCTACTGGGAGACATCAAGAAGACTTACCAGCTAGGTGCTGGTGGCTCATGTCTGTGATCCTAGCTACTTAGGAGGCTGAGAGCTGAGGATCACGGTTCCAAGCCAGCCCAGGCAGGAAACACTGTAAGACTTTTACCTCCAATAAATTACTCAAAAAAGCCAGAAGTGGCACTGTGGCCCAAGTGGTGGAGGGCTCACCTTGAGCAAAAGAAGCTCAGGCACAGTGCTTAGGCCCACAGTTCAAGCCCCAGGACTAGGGGGAAAAACAAAAAGACTCATTAAATAAATCCCATTTACCTGCTGTACATATCCCCCTGCCTCATGGAAGGTCTTCTGTTGGATTGAAGAATTTTTAGCCCAATTTCTATTAAACATGAAGCACATTCCCAGTGGCTTTAATTATACTTAGCTTTGTGAGTCTTTCCTTTATAAATGGCCAGAGTTGACACTGTATCAAAAGGACACAAATTCTAAGTAGAAAGAATGTGAAGACAAGGATTTTGCTACCTGAAAAATGAGTGATACTACACAGTAAGGAGCAGGGAATCTGTAAGTCCCCTGTCTCCTTAGTACCCCAGTGATACAAACACTGTCCATCAGGAGGCTGAGGTCTGAGTTTCGAGGGAAGCCAGACCGGGCAAAAGAAAGCACATGAGATTCTTACCTTCAATTAATCAGAAGACAGCCAGAATCGAAGGCATGACCCAAGGGTCAGAAAGCCAGCCTTGAGTGAAAAAGCTAAGGGACAGCTGAGTTCACAGCCAGCCTAGTGAAATTGTAAGAGGGGATTTTCCTAGGATCACTTCTCTAACATAAACACGGCTATTTCCTGGGTCATTCCAATGCATCTCTCAATAAATTGAAATTCGGTAAAAAATGGGAACGGTAAATACTTAACTGTTTCTCTAAATTTGTGGGTCCCAATCGAATTTCCTAGAAGACAACTGAGTATGGGGCTTTTCCAGCACAGTTCAATGTGAGGCCTGGGCCTGAGGGAAGGGCAGTTAAATGGGTGAGGGATTGATTGTGTTCCACCTGTGCAGTAATGCTCTGCCCTGCTTTTCTTTCCACAGAGCTTCTCCACTGCGGATGGAGGTAAGTGCGCTCCGCCCCATCTATGATGGATATTTTCCTCTTGATCTTGTCTGCTTAGCGGGTCTCATTCACATAGGCTTACCAAGAGACATGACATATGACTTGGTAAGGGAATTGTAGGCATGGGGCAGCATGGCAAGGCCCAGGAGGCCCACATTCCTGGCCTCACTGCCACAACTGTTTATTGACTTGCTCCTTCCATTAGTTCTTGAAGGCTCACTGCCTGGGCCTTTCTTGAAAGCAGCTCAGCAAAGATCTGTGCTGAGGTCATGACCAGATTGGAATCAGGCACCTTGCAGAAAGGAGCTGGGTTGTCCTGGTGACTAGATTGCACCACACATCAGATCATTCAGTGTTTAGGACATTCTTCTAAGGCCTCTGGTGTTTTCCTTTTTCTTTCTCTCTTCCACTTCATCCCTTCCTTCTATCCCTATTTCCCTCCTTTCTCCCTTCCCTTCTTCTTCCCTTCCTCTTTCCTTCTTCCTTCCTGTCTTTCTTCTTTCGGACACTGGAATTTTTTTGACCTGGGGGAAGAGAATCTATGACAGTTCTTGCTACAAGAAAAACAAGTGATAGAAGAAGATGAGACTTGTAGAGGAGACACTTGTTTTGAATTTTGAGGGTGGAACATGAACTAAGGGGGTCACCTTGGGGTATTGGGGTGTTGTATGAAGAGAACATGTGTCCACCTGGTCAGCAGGAATGCACCACTGGGTTGTACTGGGGATGGGATACTGACCCACATGCACCCCACATACTGAAGAGATCATATTGTCACATTCCGTATGGTTCTCTCTCTCTCTCTCTCTCTCTCTCTCTCTTTCTCTCTCTCTCTCTCTCCTTTGCACACCAAGACCTTGCCTGGACTTCTTTCTGATAACTAGGAGAGAGAAGGGACCTGAATTTCCACTGAGTTGGGGGTGTGGGGTCGTAGTCTGACATAACAAGCAGAATGGAAAGTACATTATACACTCTCACCACCAGCCCTCATCGTTTGCACCCTGAACTGTCATTTTGCCTTCTCACTGTTTTCCCCTGATTCCTAAGCATTCATAGAGGTTGAAGCATCTTAATCATCACTGATAGGGAAGAAAGTTGCCCCTGACTCCATCTTCCGTGTTTGGGAGGATGTGAAATTCTTAGGGAGCCCAAAAAGGGGTTTTCCTGGTCTCACCTGCCACGCTGGCTTTTGATTCCTGCCACCTGTGGTTCTTACCACAGTACACCAACTGGGAAAGAGAAGCATCTGAAGGAGAGAATAGAACACATGCTTCCAAGAATGCAATGAGGGTAATGAAATAGCCTGAGGGTAAGAAGCACATCCTACTTGAAAGATTCTAGGCTATTTTTTTCATTCTTTGTTTCAAAAGCTTAGTGCTGTCAAACTCTCTTAGAATCTATCAACGGTTGCTACTAAGCATTAACAAGAAATTCATATAGAACAATAATGGCTCGGGAAATCTCAGTTTCTGAGACATTTCTGATTACACCATCTAGGTCTGACTTAGATTGCTCTCACTGTGTAGATGCTACCGATAATCAACCAAGCACCGCCCATGTAGGAGGAGACAAGAAGGTTTGGAAGTGCTGCTTGTTATCCCTCATGTTGGTCTATCATGTTGTTATCCCTCATGCTGGACTTTGGACCACTCCCTAACGATGTATTGAGGAAGATTCCCTGGCCATTTTTGTGCCACTCTCCATTCGCTTATCTCTTAGCAGAGGACAGATAGCCCAGCCCTCCAAGGAGCTTGTAGGCAGTAAGTGCTGGGGCGGGGCACCTGTATCACCTTCTCATCTGTCTGGAAACTGTCTGGAAACTGTCACCCAGAAGAGACTGAGACATAAGTCCTAAATCACAAGTGCTTTTAGGTGCTGAATCTATCTGTGGCTCTTGCTATCTGTGACCTCCAGTGATTCTATTATGCATAGAACTTACCAGACATGCAAGAGACTAGACTATGAGCTCTTACTTGATCTTCATGGCTTGAGCTTCCATCTTGCCTGAATGCAGAAAGGCAGATTCTCCGACACCACAGATTTTTGGAAATTATCCTTCTAGTCCCAGATTATTGCTTTGTCTTCCTATGGACTGCTGTCACCAAACTGCCTCTACCTTTCAAGACTGGCCTCCCTCAGACTGTGCTCTCGCTCGTTCTGCCTTGTTTGATTTGAGACACATCCTTCCGTAGCTCCCCACGTGAGAGTAGATGCATGTCTGCAATCTAAGTTCAGGAGTCAATGGAAGGTCAATTCAACAACATAGAAGGTAATTTTCAACTTCAGACATGTGGCTATTCTCAGAGCTCTTGATTCAAATCCAAACCCATCTGCAAGGGTCTTCAAAGGCTTTTTTGCAGTCGTCTTCCAACTCACCATCATTTCAAAGGTCTGGCTTCATTTCTTATAGCAATATGCCCTTCAACCATGTCCAGGATTCAAACTAAGGACATAAATACTGAGAGAGTGAAAGTAGCCTGAAATGTTTTCCAACCCAAGATCTGCTTGCCAAATCCTTAGACCCTATTCATTCTTCCCAAATGGTTGATGTGGAAAAGTTCATTCTCTTAAAGGAACTCTACCTTTTCTCTAAGAATATAGTGACCTGCTATCAGTATATTCCGATGGCTTAGGCTCAGGTGAATTGGTGAATGATCTGGTTGGTGCAGAGCATCTATTTATAGTCCTCTTCAACAGGAAATTAGAAAAAAGAAAGAGAGAAAACTGCCACTGCTACAGCAGTATCAACAGGAGTAAAAAAAAAAGGGGAGACAGGTATGGAGATATGGAGGAAGCAGAGGCTACAGAACTGGTGGGTGCTGGGAGGAGGAAAAGGAGGAGTTAAGAGCGCCATGAGCATCACTTGTAGCCAGTGAGCCCAGCGTTGTAGTGTAAGAGAAGCCGGTGAACAATGATACGGGTTCCACTGGGGGCATGCTGGAAGATACGCTGTGCACAGTTAGATGTCATCACTGATGAGTTCCGGGATTCTTTGACTTGGTTGTGATATATGGAGCCCAGCTCTCCAGAATCTTCCTACTTCACTTTCCCACTTCTCCATGGAAGATGCCCAGATTCTTCTTGACTTACTCCAGGGTTTCCTTTTCTCTTCTGATAGTGTAGTATGCCTGCTAATGTTTGTGCAAAGCGGAAGGCCTCCCTCCTTTGCACAGCAACACTTCCTGTTGCTATCGGTCAGCAAATGGTGAGTTCACTGAGTAGTGTTTCTGTCTGAAACCTAGCCTGAAGTGTTGAACTCATGGAGTAAATTCTGGAGTTTGTTTCAATGTGAATAAACTTGGTCTTTTGAATGCGTAGGCACATCCAGCTCCATTTCCAATTCAACTGTACTATTACACAATTTTTAATATGTTGTTCCATGTTTGGTCAATCTCAAGTTGTTAAAGCCTCTTATTGTCACGTCTCCTTCTTCTCTCCACCCTCTGAACTCATTGTCCTAGACTCTAGAACATTCTGATGACTCTTCCCATACCCAGAGCAGTTCTGAGGCTTGAGCTCTCTGGCCAGGATCCCTCCTGCCTCAGCTACTCTGCTGAATACGAGTCACTGGGCAAATGCTGGGCTTTGTTAACTGTGATCCTCCTGTTCAGCAGCCACCTCAGCAGTCCATTGTGTAGGGAAGACAAGCTGCTGTCTCGACTGTCAACCCATTGGGTCTCCTAACACTGAGCCCAATTGTACTCCCTGTTCTCTGCTACCAGATATACTAAATTACACTTCCTCCCAGCTCCACGACCTGTCAATCCTCTATTCACCAACAGTAGAAATGTCGCTTGAGAAGGAGGGGACCAGCAGAGCGGCTGGTAAGTCCTGGGGAACACTTTGGTTTTGAGACCAGGACTATCCAAGGGGCTTTCTCTGAGCTTGATTAATGACATGAGTGCTCTGATATTCTTATCTCTGGAGCCCTCTCCTTCCTAAGCCCGACCTCAGATACAGCGTGTACAGAAGCCACACAAGGTTGGCACTAGCCCTGGATCTCACTGAAGACCAAAGAGAAGGGAATTTTGAGGAAATAATCAAGTCTTTTACTTCCAGCTTCAGGAGACTCTTGTGATTGTGATTCTGGTCTTTGTAGCTGTGTTTACTCTTAATCTGCACTGTGCCTTGTATTTTCCTTATTGGAGTTGCACAAATTGAAGCTAATGAGACAGAAGCTGGGTGGAGAAGATTTTCAAACATATGAGTTCATTGCAAGAATCCTTTGGGAATTGTTTGTATATTATGGATATATATTTCCAAGTCTCCTCAATCTTGAAATTGCTTCTTAGTTTCTGTGGTATATTGGAGGGGAAGGGTTAGTAGCAAATGAAAGACTATTTGTTTCTTGCTAATTTTCCTGACGATGGATCCTTAAAAATAATACATTTATGAAGATAGAATTCAAAGGCAGCCAGGCAGCCATGCACAGATATGTGCTTCTGAAATCAGAAGGATACAAGCAATAAGTCTCTGTACCAGAAATACACTGAGAATCAGGGTTTAAATAGAAAAAACCCCACAAACATACACACATACAACTGGAATCTCCTAAAATTGCACAGTTAAGTTTTGCACTATCTGCTCTAGGTAAGTTTTTGTTTAAAACAAATTGAGTAATGACATGTATACAATTGAAAAATTATTAACATTTGTGTCAGTAGAAATCTTTCCTATAGGTCAACCTGAATATTTTTATGAGGGAAATAAATCCCTCCTTATTTTAATATTAGAGTAAAGGAAAATCAACACAGCTATCATATCTGTCATGTTCACAGATTAAATGTACATGTCTATATCTTAGCATTAGAGACTCACAGACTCACATACAAACTCACAGAATTCTAGGGATGAACAGAACTGGCAGTAGTATCTGGCCAGACCTGGGCTGGATCTGTATATTCCAGGATAGTTAGATATAGAATGAAGGAACTATAAACCTATAAACCAAAGCTGTACTACAAAGGACCCACATACTCCACATACTGGCAGTCATTTAT